GCATTTGACTCTGATTTCTTCCTTCTTCCAGCGTCCTTTTCCCACACCCCTTTCCGTCACTGCAAGTAGGGACAAGTAATATCGCCAATCCTCTCAATCCCCCGCGAATACCAAGAATTCTTACCAGCCGCCGAGTGCAGGCATTTTGTGCAGGTGAGTGTGCGAACCTCTTCTCATGGCTTGTATCATCGACACAAAATCACCTTATAATCGCTACATTTCCCCTTGCATCGCCCATCCGTCTTCCTCGTCTTTTGCCGGTAGAAAAGCAGCAGCAGAAGCAGCAGCCCTCTCTCGGACACTCTCTTGCGTCCCCAAAACTCTGTTGTGTGCCATAAGCACTTTGGCCCCCCTTCGTCTTTCCTGCTTCCTCCCGCCACCTTCTGTCATTTGCATTCCAGCTCGTGCTCTCTCCCACCTTTTCCCACCGTCGTGCCGCTTGGTGCGTGAAATTGTCTTTTCGCTGACCCAGTGACCACCGGATCGCAGGCTCGAATTTCCGCTCTTTTTTCCTGGGTTCGCGCGTGCTTCTGATCGACTCCTCATTCCTCTTCGTCTACTTTCATTTAGATGCATTATTTTCTGCGCCCCTTCAGCAGGCTCTGAACCAACCCCAAAGTTCAATTATACCCGCGACCGTTCGCACCACCGCCGCCACCGCCACCACCGTTACGATAGGAATTACCACGACGAGGGAAGGGAAAAACAGACGGGGAAGTTTAATTGGAATCCGAGAAAGAGTCGAGAAGAAGACCAACCCGCTACTGGGAAATTTCGGATCGGAAGGAACGCCGCAAGAGACCGACCGTCCAAGAAACCCTGGCTAGCGACAGCCAGAACGAATTGCTTGTCATGGACTACTACTACGCGGGTTCCGAGAAGCCCTCGGAACGCTCAAGATGGACGCCCCTCACCCGCATGCTGCTCTCCGGAGAGATGACCCAGGAGAAGCAAAAGGATTTGACGATGCGGGAGCGCTTCGACCGTTGGATGATTAACGAAGGATACCGAAGAGTGTACGTATACGGACGTCCATGTCGATTCCCAGTAAACAGTTCTAACTGCGAGCAGATTCGTATTCGTGTTCCTCATGCTTCACGGACTCGTCTTCGCGTTTGCCTCGGTCAACTTCGCCCTCAAGGACAACTTGCAAATAGCACGAGACACGTTTGGCCCGACATTCATCATTGCACGTTCGGCTGCGCTGGTGCTCCACGTCGACGTTGCTTTGGTCCTCTTTCCCGTGTGCCGCACCCTCATCTCTCTGGCCCGCCAGACTCCGCTCAACGGAATTATTCAGTTCGACAAGAACATCACCTTCCACATTACCACTGCTTGGTCCATTGTCTTCTTCTCTTGGGTTCACACCATTGCCCATTGGAACAATTTCGCCCAGATTGCCGCCAAGAACAACCTCGGCATCTATGGCTGGCTGCTGGCCAACTTTGTCTCCGGACCCGGCTGGACTGGCTATGTCATGCTAATCGCGCTCATGGGTATGGTCTTCACCTCCGTTGAGAAGCCTCGCCGTGCCAACTATGAGCGATTCTGGTACACCCACCACATGTTCATTGTCTTCTTCTTCTTCTGGTCCATTCACGGTGCGTTCTGCATGATTCAGCCCGACTTTGCTCCCTTCTGCACCAGCATCGGTACTTCCGCCATTGGTGTGTTTTGGCAGTATTGGATGTACGGTGGCTTCGTCTACCTGGCTGAGCGTGTCGCCCGTGAGGTCCGTGGACGCCACAAGACGTACGTATCCAAGGTCATCCAGCACCCCAGTAATGTCTGCGAGATTCAGATCAAGAAGGAGCACACCAAAACCAGAGCTGGACAGTACATCTTCTTCTGCTGCCCTGCTGTCTCTCTCTGGCAGTACCACCCTTTCACCTTGACCAGCGCCCCTGAGGAGGACTACATCTCCATCCACATGCGTGTTGTCGGTGACTTCACACGCGCCGTCTCGATGGCTCTCGGCTGCGAATGGGACAAGAAGAAGGACGATGCCAGCAAGGTCGTCGGTGTCAACAGCGATTCTAGCGAGGTCGACCCCGCCCTTCGTCGGGTCTTACCCCGCGTCTACATTGACGGACCGTTTGGCTCAGCCTCCGAGGACGTTTTCAAGTACGAGATCTCTGTTCTCTGCGGTGCTGGTATCGGTGTTACGCCCTTCGCGTCTATCCTGAAGTCCATTTGGTACCGGATGAACTATCCTCAGCAGAAGACTCGGCTGAGCAAGGTTTACTTCTTCTGGATTTGCAGAGACTTTGGCTCTTTCGAGTGGTTCCGCTCCCTGCTTCTCGCCATCGAAGCCCAGGATGTCGACAATCGCATCGAGATTCACACCTACCTGACGGCCAAGATCAAGGCGGACGATGCGACGAACATTATGATTAACGACGCCAATGCCGACAAAGATACTATCACTGGTCTGCGCTCACCAACCAACTTTGGTAGACCCAACTGGGACATGATTTTCAGAGGTATTCGCAAGCTGCACTCGCCCGCCGAGGCTGGTGTTTTCTTCTGCGGTCCCAAGGGTTTGGGCAGCTCGCTGCACATTTACTGCAATAAGTACAGTGAACCTGGGTAAGTCACCGTTCTGGATCAGAAGATGCTTCCAATGCTAACACCGGCACAGCTTCTCATTCGTATGGGGCAAGGAGAACTTCTAAGCCAACTTCGGAGCAAAAGGCAACAATTTCGTTTCGTTTCCCTCTTCCACCACATTATTCGTCATCAATATCAGCGTCGTTGCTTGCCTTTACCATTCTGTCTCTCCTTTCCCACACTATCATTTCTGAAGTGGCAGGATAGACTGTCACGGAGTCTCATCCACTGGGTTGCGTGTTGCGGTTGCGCCGGACGCCACAGGACCAGGAAGACGGCGGGTATCGGTGAAACGGTCGACGGCAGCATGGGCATGCTGTGAGAGAGGAAAGTTTTAAGGGCGGCACCGAGGAATTATATCGGCGGATGATGATAATTTTGGGCGTCATCCCCGTAACCCTTGTGGATATACTACTTACTACTACCGACATTTATACATTGTACCTAGCGATGCCATCATCAGTATACTTAGACAGTTTTTGATGCAGCAAGGCACAAGGCTCTTGCAAAAGTCAACTTGGTTTCTTTCAGCCGTGTTATCGTCTACCTGTGTATGTGCGCGTGTGAGAGGAGAATCGGAGATGAGCTGAGACGTGCCAAGCACGATCCCTCACGGAATCGATCCCTTCTTCGCCACCGTTTGCGCTGAATCAACTACTTGGGCCATGCGGGCGCTCGGACGTGGGAACCACCAGATGACGACGCTCGTGAGGGCGTCTTTTTTGGTTTCGAGACGCCCATTGTAAAACGCATGACTGGGATGATATCGGACGAACAAGGGGTGTAACATGCCGCATGGTCAGGACTTCTTCCGTAGGGTCGTAAGCCGTTTTCTTGGCACTTGCTTGGCCGCCGCTCTAAGTGAAGTGCGGTGACTTTTGGCCGGGCGCGCGTGCTATGGTTGATTGGGCCTGGCTGACGGCTGTTGGGTGATGGATGAGTGAGGGATGGATGATGGGCGAAGGACAAGCTTGGCTTTGCTTGGCGATTTCGGGTATCTAGTTTGGCGTCACGGAAAAGCAGGGGGACTTGGCTTGGTGATTGGACATTTTATGCGATGAGGCTCATCTCATGAATTGACTGTATTTTCCTTTCTCGAAACCTGCTTACTCGACATACGTGCCTCACTGGGAGGGAATACGCGTATAGTTCCGTCCCAGCCCCGTTGGAAGTGCCCGGTTGTGTCTCCACTCCGGACTCTCTCCACTTCGGACCCGAGTGTGACCGCCGTTTGGTTTGGTTTGGTTCGGAAGGGTGAGACTGTAACTCGTATCACCGGCATTGTTTGGAATTTATCGGAGGCTGGTCAGACCAGTGGCTTTCAATCCACTGGAGCGCTTTTCTATTGGGCGATGACTGGACTTTCCTGTTCTTTGGCTTGCATCACAGCGGACTTGTAGGATAGATGACCTTTTGTTCCAGCCGATATATTGAAGTAATTTAGCGCCTAGAAGCGCGAGAGACTAAATGAATAGGTGAATAGTGCTCCAAAGTAGTAATAGCACCAACCAATTTCTTCAACTCAATTCCATCATTCATCAAATCCGGGAAGGGTTTGGCCCTCCTGTGCGACCAGATTAACGACGACCGGAAACACTCGACTCCACCGTCGATTGCTCGCTCGACCACAGGTTTTGCCCTCAGGCGTAGGAGATTCGAGCAGGCCCATTCGCACCCGGAAGCACTGGTGGCTTCAACCCAGGCCGATACAGCAGGCATTGCTCCTAGCGCGCACTGCATGTTCATTCGGATACATGTGCAAGAAAATACTCAACACCAAGACTGTCCTATCTGAAGACCTTGGACCTTTATTGATGATTTTGCTGCTTTGCCATTATTGATATTTCGGAGGAAGAGCAAGCAAGGTCCCTCCGCCGTGGACTCCCCCACTTGACTATCGAGTACGGTGACAAACTCTCGAACTTACTACGGCACAAGTCTTCTGTAGTACTATAGTGTAACTAGATAAACCCCGGCAAGCGAACGTTATGCGGGCCTCACTTGGTTGTACTTGCTCGGGTATTAGTAGAAAGACCAGTACGATCAGAGTTATCTGGTGGCGGACGTTGAAAACCCTCTTGCAGCAGTTGAGTCACTTGATGAACCACCGAGGACCTCTTCATGCAGGATCAGGGGAATTCTGAACATAACCATAGAGGTTCACCCCCGGCGTATCTTACGCCTTTAAGAAGTACGAAAACGCCCAGCTGCAGTGCTCAAATGATTTAAAATCCTCACAGCAAACATTCCCAATCTACCACACTTTCGAGGCCCTCAACAGCCAACCAAAATTCTTCACTCTACGCTGCGAAGAAATCATGTTGTCTAGCGTTTGTACGAGATTTCTCGTCATTTCTGACACTCATGGAGACACATTTTCGAGCGAAAAGATGCCTTGTGAACCAGTTGACGTCGTAATCCACTGCGGCGACCTCACACAGCACTCAACGTTGAACGAATTCCGCAAAACGCTTGATATGCTAAAGAAGTTCAAGGCACCGCTCACGCTCGTCATTGCAGGCAACCACGACTTCTCGCTTGACCCCACGGCGTTCAAGGCAAAGATTGAGGAAGCCAACCGGATTAGCGGTGAGCCTCTCGAGGCAGCCCTGCTTGAAAGCGAATTTGGCGGGAATGGAACGGTTAGGAAAATCTTCACAGACGCTCAGAAAGACGGCATCTTTCTCCTGGACGAGGGCACGCACGAGTTCGCTCTGGCGAATGGTGCCACCTTCAAGGTCTACGCCAGTCCGTATACTCCATCTTCCTCAGAGGGCTGGGGCTTCTCCTACAATCAAGGTGACGGACACCACTTTGATATCCAGGCGGACACAGACATTGTCATCACGCATGGCCCGCCCCACGGGATGATGGATATGGCCGCGGATAGAGAGCGCATCGGCTGTCCTCAACTCTTTGCTGCTGTCGCACGATCTCAACCACGTCTACACTGTTTCGGACACGTACACGGTGGCTGGGGAGCAAAGCGTGTGGCTTGGCGCCCGCAACTATCCAGCAATCCTTCACACTTTAGCGATATTGATCACGATAAGTCCAAGCTTGTTGATAATCTCTCGTCACTCAGGGGCACCAAGTTCGAATCCGAGGATGACAAGAAGGAAAGGGAAGAGAAACTCGAACTCTACAAGAAGCAAAGGTGTTGTGTCTCAGAACATCTTCGTGGAGGTATGAGCTCATCGAAACCAAAGAGCACAATGTTTGTCAACGCCGCGATCGAAACAGGTGGTGAATTACAACACTATCCTTGGATCATTGCCATCGATCTGCCAACAAGCGAAACTAGCATGATGCCAAAGACTGAGCGGAAGAGAAAACGTGAGGGGGCACATCAAGAGCCCGAGGAAGTAAAGAAGACTCGGATTGAACATGAATAGAAATTGGTTAGATTGATGTTTGGCAAGTCAAAACCTTCTTTTTTTGAACTATGGGAATTGGCCTTTGTTCGGACAAGTGGCTATTCTAAAAAGAGGGTTGCGTGGCTTCAATAACAAATTACCAACACTTTCCCGTTTTCATCGGCAGTTCTCCATCGTGACTTTCCACGCTGGTCCTAGGATCTCGGGGCTGACTTCGTTGCCACTCACGGTACAGATTTTCCGATGCATTAACGCCTTCGACATCCATAACGTTCTCGCCCACTGTTCCAACATCACTTCGCCTGACCTGCGTATGAGGGAGATTGGCTGTATTGGAGAACCCGATCGATGAAGCCTTCCCCTCGACCCTGCTGGGACATCACGACACCTAATGTATCCGTACTACATACTCTATCCCTCGAAAGTATCACTTTTACGACACAGGCGGAGATGAAATACAAATGGATTCGTTTGGGAAATGATTGGAAATGGTTGAAGTGGAGGCCAACTCTCTCAAAAGACCAGAGATCAGTCAACAACATCAGTCTGTGACCTGAGGCAATGGACTTTTCCAGGATCACAAATCTTTGCAATTTGGCTTATGACGGAACGCCTGAGAATCTGGCCAAGAGCAGACTATCCCTTCGTTTACCAAGACTTCGCACATTGAGACTTGAACGAAATACCCCGATAGATTTTGCTAGGGATTTCGCTCTCGCATTGTCTCGGCACTCGCTACAGAGCCTTTCTTGGTTAGAAGCTGGCCAAGACAAGTACATCATTCGAATCCTGGAACACCATGGACGTTCTCTCACCCATTTCGAATGCCGGCCCACGCCAGAAAGCCTCGAGTCCAAAAGGTCAACGCTTCCAAAGAAGGTACTGCAAGACATTCGTACCCTGGCATCCAGTTTGCAATCACTGGCAATGGACCTCAATCATAACGGCACGCAGCCTCGGGAGGACCTTCGCGCTCTATCATCGGGCCTTCCGGGTGGAGTGGTCAATCCCACACTATACCTAGAAATAGCGAGCGAATATCGTCAACTCTTGACGTTGCGCAGTTCATTCGACATACATCACGTAGCGAGTCCGTTGAACATCATCAACTTCTTCCCGGGCAACTGGACGAGGCCGTGGGTGGGCCGATCAGCATGTTCACCTTGGCTGGATGGCATACGTTTCCTTACCAGAGCAGCTGAGCTTCTGCCCGCCGCTCCCCGTGCCGCACGCTATCCAAGCCTGTAAACAGCGCAGACTAGACGGGACTTGGCGAGAAGCTCCGATGACGGTGTGAACGCTCCATTATGCTCTTACTTGTATGAAGATTCGGCTCTGTACTTATAATGCGAATGTGACATGCGTCGAGGACATTTGTAAGACGCATGGCGGTGTAAAAGAGTCTTGAACCATTCATGCGCGGCAATGTCCATGCCGAAAATATACGTTGTTAGTAATCTGTAGACAAGTCCTTAGGAACCCAGACCAATACGCCTTGAACCTGCCAATCGAGTGTGCAGTTCATTCAGATAGTAATGTTCTTTTGTCAAGTCCAGTGGATGCTAGCTGCCCTAAGTGCTCTGCCAAACGGATATGACTGATTGCCAAAAGCAGGCGCCATGTAAGGCATAATAACTGAGGTAAGGTACATTGGCAAACTTCCCTTCCCTCTGTTGTCGGTCTTCTTCTTCGCGACATCATAAACAAACTTCTTGGTAAGCTGCTGGGATATACTTGATCAAGAGGAGTTGGAGAACTTAGTTGGTGGTGCTGCTGCCTTGGGGCAGTTTGAATTCTTTCTTTTAATTGCGCTTCTTGGCGCCAACAATGGCGCGGCTGCAATACGGCTACTGGATATTTATTTATGAAACAGAAAGTTCAGATATTATCAGTGAATAAAATGAAGGGGACTGTAGCTATCCCTTATTATGACCTGATCTGTGTTTCCAGTCATTGCGTGAAGTTAAAGGAGGCGAAAGATCATGTGAGCTTATTAGTCATTATGAATGAAATCCTCACCTCTTCCGGCGACGACCCATGGGGAAGATAAATACAAACATCCTTCAGGTGGAGGCCTCGACAGGGAGCGGGCAAGAATGGAGGCGAGTGCATGTCAAATGGTACAAAAGTGAAATGTCTTACCACACTTGTGAGTACGAAATGGAGAAAATGACTGAACTATTTCTGGAGAAATAAAGCTTGAATTGGAAGATGCATTCCCGGCGGATGAGCGCCTCACTGAGAGCACAGACGTTGGGATAAGAACGTCAAGCCCCAAGCTGAATGAGCTCTGCGTGTGCCCTGGACTTGGAGCGAGTTGTGGCTCAACTCGATTACTCACCGACCGGTGGACGCTGTGTCTCTGGGCAATTTCCGGGAATTACAACCACTGGGTCCCTCGACACCCGAGCGTCCCGGGCGGTCCCTCTTCATCTTTTTTTTTTGGGGTAAGCGCTTTCAAAGCTGCTATCCGTAGTATGAGGTTGATTATCGGGCTTTTGGAGAGTTGACAGATCCGAACATGCGGATTACGTGAAGCTGGGACTCCTGGAGAGATTGAGTTGTGGCGGGCCTTTGTTCCATCTGGAGGATCTTCGAGACCCGGGAATCCTTACAATCTGCTCTCGTGTCGCAGACGGGTGTCGATCTACAGAGGATGACGCCGTTCGACGAGCCCACCTCCCTAAACCGACCGCTTTGCAGACCTGCTGGCAGCTGCACCTCGTATTCCTGTTTCGCCTCCTTTTCTGGTGTGTGTGTGTGTGTGTGTGTGTGTGTGTGTCAACTTTGGTGTGTGTTTTTATGCGCTGTCTGCTGTAAGCGTCTGCCCAGGCTGTTATCATTCTGCCCATGCGCCGATCGTATGACGGACGTCGACACCACTCCTGCCACATGTGGTGAGTTGTAAGTCCTCAATACTAGTTTACGAGGCAATGTGAGACAAAGCGCATAGTTGGTTTCCCGGCCCCTTCTTTCTTTTTTTCCGACAACCGTATTGTTTCTGTTCAATTTAAGCGCGTGCTTGTCAATTTCGGGATACGGGCACCGCCAGAATATCGACTTTGGAAGGTATTGTCTAAATGCAAGCTGATGTGGCGCTAGCTGACGATTTCAGGAATCCAGGGTCTATCGACGCCCAGATGACCAGCGCCACAGCGGCGCTGGATGACTGAACTGGCAGAAGAAGACGGATGGGGATTTGTCGCCCGGCATGGGATCCAAATCAGTCCTGGCGAGAGAGTCGCAACATCTATCAAGGGTCCTCGTGTGATCCAACGGTTGCGACGTTTTGAACCTTCTCAACACCGCGTAATGCATACTGCAAATTGAGAGACGTCCTTGTCATGGCAGTTTCAACATGTTTTCTTCTTTTGCGCGTCATTGTCGTAGTCGTCGTCGTCGTGGCCGGTGTTGGGGTCCTTGGGTTACTTACTATGTAGCCATCGTATGTTGCCCACTTGGGTTCATCCCGCGGTCCGGATGATCGGTCCCGTCCGTTCATGTCCCTCAGGGACCAAGGCGGGTTTCCGATCATCTCGTGTTGCTGCCGATTGCTGATGGCCCAATGGAATTCCACCTTCTGTCGTCGGGTTGCTCATTCGTCCTCCTGACACCAGAGCCTTGCTGCTGTTGGTGATAGCCATCGAATGGCGTTCAATTGACATGTTATCAACCCGAACAATCTCGGGGTCGGAGAGAGCGAGATAGAGACACGTTTGGGGGCGCACAGCACCTCGGTTCCCATCATCCCGTGCCAGGTTCCACTGGCGGCAGTGACTGGCCCAGGCCCCAGTCCAGGGGCAACCCATGACGTGCGTGCGAAGAGCCCGGCCACCGCGGGCAGTCAACGGAGGGCCTGTCGAGCACTGCCATTGCAGCAATCAGCGGGCATCCAAGCAGCGGTGCGCATCACCATCAAGAACACTCTCGGATGGCGGGGAGAGACCCTGTTGAGGACTCGAAGAGGATGGGCTTGAAAAGCCTTTGCTGTCGGAATCGTCGTTCCCTTTTCGTGCTCCCCTTCTATAGTTGTGTCATTGTGTTTCCTTCTTGGGTTTGTCTAAATTAAACATTGGTTAGCCTTTTTCCATCTCCCCCCCGCCCTTTGGTTTTATTTCCTTTGGGTTTGGGCCGCCCTCGAGCAGCACCATTTGACGACCTGCCATTTGGGAGCAGCGAGAGGAGCGATTTAATAACTCGACGCCCCTCCCGCCCACTCTTTTTCTCGATTTTTTTCCTGTCACTTGTCCATTCAAAAGTCTTGAAGAGAAAGCCCCTCTTTCATACCGTCGGGTCGGGTTTCTCCCCAGTATCCGACGGTGGAGAGGGAGAGTCTGACTCTGAGGGAATCGCTGAATCGCTGCTCAGACTGACGGAGAAGACGGGGTTTTAGCAGCAAGCTCCAAGAGTCCAGAGAAGGGGGAAATGCCATCCACGAACCATTTCAGGAGCCATGAGTCCATCGGACCATGACAGATCAGGCAAAAAACCAGTGACCGCGCCACCTGGGACGGGGGGACGCTATTACGAGTGGCTTTCCCATTAGCACCCCGTCGGCCGGGACGCTAACCTCGACGGAATCTGCGCTGCTGCGGAGGTTCAGGCACTTGGCGGGACTTGTGCAGATTTGGCTGCATTGTGTGCATTTTGCATGAAAAATCTGTACGAAGTATCCGTCACGAAGGATTTTTATCCAGTCGTCCAGTCGCGTCAATCGATAGGGGCCTCTTTCCCGCCCTCTCCGCCCCTTCCAAGGCACCTTACACCACCGTGACCAGCTAGGTAATCAACCGAAACTGACCCGGTGTGACCTAAGCCATCTTCCTTCCTCCCCCCGTTTACCTTACGTATCTGCCTCCCCCGACGATTGTACGTTCGTCTAATACTCGTACCGTTTCTTCTTTCCCACGACCTACTGCACGACGCCATTCCCATTCCACCGTGTTTCGCCGCGGTGGCACAATACACACTCACACTCACACTCGTTCAACCCGCCTTTGGTCACCGCCGCATCCTCCTTCATCAATCCGCCTTGAACCCTTCGCCCCCCCATCCCCCGTTTCAACCTTCCACTTCCACACAACAAAAAGTCAACTTCATTCTCAACAGTGCCATTGCGCCCATCCTCAGTTGTTTACTCCTCGTAGGGAGACCGAATCGCGGCCATGCGTCTCGGATCAGCTGGCCTCGCGGTCCTGCTCTGGTCCTCCTTCACCACTCTTACAACCGCCTTCCCCTTCGCCGATAATGTCAACCCCACGCCCGTCCTCCGACCCCGACAAGCCGGCACCGGCTCGACGCCCACCTCCACGACATCCGCAGTCGCCTCGGAGACCACAGCACCAGCAGAGACGTCCGCCGCGGCAGAGCCCACCACGACCGTAACAGTCACGACCACCGTCGGCGGCGGCGGCGCCGGCGGAACCGTCACGTCGACGACTGTCTTCTTGCGAACAATCATCACCACCGTCGTCGTCACGTCCACGACCTTCCAGACCACCACCATCACCAGCAACGATGTCGCGACCGCCACCGTCACCCACTACGTCACCTCCACCGTCCTCGCCAAGCGCAGCCTCAACTTCCTCCCCGCCCCCGATGCCCCCTTCGACGCACCGGCAGCGCAAATCACCCCCGCCGTCGATCCAAGAGATATCCGAAGATACGGCGTCATCGAGAAGCGCGCCCTCGTCACTGTAGTCGTCACCGTCTCCGGCTCTGCGGCCGCCGACACTACTGTCCTAAGCACCCAAACCAGCACCGTCGTCGTCACCACCACCTCAAACACCGTATTCACCTCCATGATCACCAGCACCCTCTTCAACAACGCCAAGACCACAATCACTGTCGAGTCCACCCTAACCGTCACCTCCACCTCCATCAACACCGCCGCGCCCACCACCGTCGAAAGCGGTCCGACGACCGGCAACCTCGGCACCGCCACCGCGACCGCGACCGGCGGCGCGCAGAGCACGGGCAGCTCGAGCAGCGGAGGAGGACTCTCCACGGGAGCACAGGCCGGAATCGGTGTTGGTGTCGGCGTTGTAGGCCTTGCTGCCCTGATTGCAATCGGTTACTGGCTCTACAAGCGCCGCAAGGCCAACCGACCCTCTCGCGCCGACCTCGACGACATGCGCGCTTACGACCCCAACGGTCCCTCGCCCCTCGGCGGGTCAGCAGGTATGTCCGAGGCGGGATATGGCGGTGCCGCTGCGCTTGGAGCGGGTGCGGGAACGCAGAGACGGCAGCCCGTGCACAAGCACCAGCTCTCGCCGCCCTCGCAGAGCGTGAGCCCCGTATCGAACAGCACCGTGTCGCCGACAGGTGGTGCGCAGGAGCTCGGCGGGACGAGGATCTTACCGGCGGAGATGGGCGGCGACGAGGTCGTCGAGATGGGCGAGTCACAGCCCAGGCCTCAGCCGCAGCAGCCGCCGCAGCAACAGCAGTCGAGACCCGCACCGGGGATGACGTACAACTCGGGTCCTGTCCCGGATGTCTATGAGATGCCTACCGAGAGGTATCGGTAATGTCGTAATTTCTTTTGTAACATGTGTAAGCTTTTTCTAAAAGATGAGAGGAATTCCAAGGAGAAGATCTTAGGGGGGGTGCATATATGGATCCACCAGCGGAGGAGGGTTGTTATTTACATGAACATTTTTGAGAAAGCGTAGCATCGAGTCCCAGGCGGGACAAATTGGTATCAGAAAGAGCAAAGAAAGCAGTTCCAAAAGAAGAAGACTGCTTGAGGGAATGGAGATTTTCCCACGTAGAGGATATTCGGTAGATAATCTTCATAATGTGTATGACATGGAAACACGTGTGTAGTAAACCATCATTGTGAGCTTGCGTGATGTGATAAAAGTCAGTCGGAAGGAAGACGGCATGCCCTTCTTAACGAATCCCATGGAGACCAAAGCTCCATGCTCAAGACCGATGGGGCTCGGCCGCACCTTCAGCCGTTTTGTCGCATCAAACGGCGCCCCGGAGCCTCCGTGGGTGCGATGTGCGGGTTCTAGCCTTGCCGTTGGGAGCGTGGCGTGCAGGTGTGGAATGCGGCGTTTGCTGACTGCGTCGGAGGATTGGGCTGAATGACACTCGCGACTTGCTTTGGAGGGGATGTAGCTGCGGTGTCGGTTTATATGGGAGGCATTGTGCGAGAGATGGGAGAGGGGAGAAGGGGGGGAAGGAAGGTTTCGTGGAAAGTAGCAGTGTATGACTGCGCACGTGTGAATGAACTGTGAACGTGAAAGCCCGGGGATGGATTCCCGATGGCTGGGATCATTCGTTCATCCCAAGGTTTCATCCTTTCGTTTTTTGAATCTGGTAGATGGGATGACCATGTGATGTGTCTGTGTGTGTATGTGTGTGTATGTGTGTCCCTGACTTCAGGACGACCACTTTTCGGGGATCTTTACTTTCCGGCGTTGGAGATGCAGCCATCGATTGGGATGTGAGATGGGGGGCCGCGTCGCGATGCGACCCTACTTATCCAAGATTTGTCACAGTAAGTCTCGATTGACAGTGACTTCGGGACATTAAAGTTGAAATCTCGGCGCCGTTGCCGGCATGATCGTGGAGTTGCGCAAACTTCTCTGTTTGCATGTAACATGGTAGTCCACCTCTAGAAGCCTGTCGGTCGTGCAAATGTTCCGCTTCCTCGACAACACGCTATAGATTCGATGCGGAGACCATCGGCGACAAACTTACCGATACTATTGCATGGCATCCATCTGCAAATGCAAGCCAAGACTCTTACGACGCAACGACATGATAACAGTCTTGGAAGCTGGATGACACATGTACATTGGGGGCAAACCTTTCTAGGGTACCTGGGGTTGATGGTACTGAATTGTGTGCGGCAGATGCTTACACATGGCGAGCACAGTAGCGCAAGGCGGTGGCACCATGTCGGGCATCTCCTACATTTACGCTTAGAATATAATAACCACCGCGGCGGGTCTTTTGACAAATGAAACGAAGTATTCTGTATCCGTACCATGGTTGCGTGTTCCGGACCCCGGGACTTCTTGGCTCTTTGCGGTCTTATCTGCGCATGCGGTTCCCAATCTCTACAGGAAATCCCGCTGCCGTGGGTGAGGGAACGATGGAGGGGGAGGGGCTGTTTTTTTGTTTCTTGATAATCTCTTGTGACTCTTCAACTTTTCTCATCCCAGAGCCCTCCTTCATAAATAACTTTCCAACCCTGGATGAACGCAACGCCAACCGCCGTCTTGCTTCTCTTTCCTGCTAGACGCAATATCTCTCATCTGATTCCAAACTCGAGTGGCTCCTCCCACAAGCGGACTTGGAACCTTGTCCCTACTCTTCTAGCCCGTCAAGCGTTTTAGGCGGAGTTTTGGTGACTAGTCAACATCGTGCCATTGTGTCTTTCAAGGCCCCGCCGACATAGGAACCAGAGGGGCAGCTCATAAAAAAGAGAAAAGCGCGAGAGGAAAATCTTGCTGTTGCGCGGCACACTCACACACACACATACATCTCACACACATAAGGTACACCAGGCACACCCCGCCATTGAAGCAGCTCCAACCCCGCCTTCATCATTCTGGTGGCTTTCTGACGACAGCGAGGTGGAATTCTAGGGAGCTTTAGACTCCCTTCAACGGCTGGCTAAACTCTAAATTTGCAACCCACTGCCAGTTCTCGGGCAAGGTAGACCCCTAAACCCATCGCCGGCGCAAAATCCTCCCTCTCACGGAGCCGCTCATCGCCTCCGGACACCCCCGCACAACACCCGGCGCATCGTAAAGTTTCGCCCGGCCTATCGCCGTATCAGCGGCGTGACCACAATCATGGACGCCTCCGGCAAAGAACGCGTCGACAAAGACACCGGCCTGGGCCCCGGCCTTGGCCTTGGCCCCTCACATTGGGGGGTGTCACGGGTGTGTACGGATACTCTGTAATGCAGTATAGTGTGTCTCGAACTCTTCTGTCACTGTGAGGGGCAAAGCTCCGTAGAC